AAACAAGAAAGAAAAGAGGGCGTCTTTTTGGAGATGAGTTTTCTACCTCCCTATCCACACCCCACAACCTAATGATTTAACCTTTTTAAGTACAAAAACTTTAAGGAGTTCTGGAATAATGTAAGCAGCGCTCATTCATTATCCTCAATTTCTGATTAAAAAATAGGAAAAAAGAAAGAGAGAAGAAGAAGAAAAAGAAAGAAAGGAAACAAAAACCAAATGAAAATTTCCCAAACCCATGGGAGCACAGAGTGGAGAATGAGAGCCTCAGGCAATGCTGACACTGTCCTGTTCAGATTGTGACTTGGGAGTACAGGACTACGTGGGCTCCCTGCTCTACTATAGGATCTTTTAAGAAACCAACATCCTCAGGGCGCACGGTCCAGCCCAACATTAATTCTCTAAACCTTTGGCTAGATGTTTCTTACTTTTCCCCATTATGCTTCTGAAACAAAATTAGAAATACAGAGAACATTGGAAATGTAAATTGCCAATATTCCTACCATCTACTGAGTCAAACACACACACCTACACACACGTATACATTCCACATATTTGTGCCTCTGTGCCTGTTTCCTCATCTATAAAATGGGGACAACAGTCATGCCATAAAGAGTATGTGAGATAATGTGTGGGAAATGCCTGGCCCGTAGTGAGGAAGTGGTTCATTAATGATTGCAGTTATTAATGCTGTCATCTTGGACGCTGCCTCTCTCGTACCTCTCGTGGGCCCCAGGGGACTGAGATGACCTCTACGCTCTTATTCATTCCATAGTCACTCAGAGGGTGTGTGCTCTGGGCCAAGCCCTGCGCTGGGTGGCAAGGGCCCAGAGATGAACATGACCAGGTCTTGCCCTCAGTCCAGGAAGGCAGGCAGATACATAAACAAATAAGTGACAATCTTGGGTGACAAGAGCGATGGTGGCCACATAGGTGGGTGTTGCGGGACTCCTGAGCTAGGAAGCCACTCGGACTCTGAAAAGAAGGTGATGGAGCGGCCAGCTCAGGAAAGAGAAGGAGGAGGAGATGTGTAAAACAAACACAGTGAAGGACATGTCAAATAGACGGGAGAGCAACTGCCAATCCCCAGAGGCCCAGAGGCCATTCATGGGAATAGCGAGTCCTCCACTGTGGCTAAACAAATCTAGCAATGTGACAATGAGGAGATCTCTTCCTCTCCCTCTGGCTGTCAGTTTCCTTGTCTCTAAAGTGAGATGATTGGGCCAGGTGACCTCTGCATTCTGCCCTTTCCACTCCTGATTCTCTCTGGGGTCCACGATGTGCACCAAACCGCTCGCTAGTCCTAGAATACACCATGCTTTAGCCAACCTCCAAGCCCTGCTAGGGCCATGTTCTCACCTTGGAATAGACCACATCTTTGGGGGCTCATCTCAAACGTCCCATCTCAGAGTCTCTTTCCAGCCTTACCCCTCAGCGAAGCCTGCTTCCCACTGCACCGCACCTGCAGGGAGTCAGTGGTTTCTGCCCAGGAGGTTGGTAAGTGTAAGTCTCATAGACAGGCCGGGCGCGGTGGCTCACGCCTGTAATCCCAGCACTTTGGGAGGCCGAGGCGGGTGGATCACGAGGTCAAGAGATCGAGACCATCCTGGTCAACATGGTGAAACCCCGTCTCTAAATACAAAAAATTAGCTGGGCATGGTGGCGCGTGCCTGTAATCCCAGCTACTCAGGAGGCTGAGGCAGGAGAATTGCCTGAACCCAGGAGGTGGAGGTTGCGGTGAGCCGACGTCGCGCCATTGCACTCCAGCCTGGGTAACAAGAGCGAAACTCCATCTCAAAAAAAAAAAAAAGTCTCATAGACAGTGAGCCCTGGAGAGGGACCAGTGTTGGAACTTCTGAGTCTCCAGTGACCAGCAGGGAGCGGTGTACAGCAAGAGCTCAGCTTTTTGTTCATTTTTTTCTTACTAATAATATGAGCAGGTAATATTTATTGAGGCCTTACCTCTAGCAGGGAGTATTTGAAGCACTTTCCATTGAATGTCTGATTTCAACCTTGTAACACCCTACCCACGAGGTAGTTACTATTATTGTCCCTACTTTACAGATGAGAGACCTGGACCTGAGACTCAGAGAGGTTAAGTGACTGAACCAAGGTCACACAGCAGGTGAGTGATACAGTCAGGATTGTATCCCCTGTCTGTCAGGCTCCAGAGGCTCCTGTTCCCTAGACAATGACTTGGTTTCTGTCCAATATCAAAGCCCCAGATGTTGCCTGGATGCCAAGTGCAGCTAACCAGTGGTCACTGTCCAAGGCCATGGAACTCTGTAGAGCTGCCTTGCTTTTTTTTTTTTTTTTTTCATTAATAGGCTTTATTTTTTAGAATAGTTTTAGAGAATAATTAAGCAGAGAATACAAAGTTCCAGAATTAACATCTTGCATCAGTGTGGTACATTTTTTTGCAATGAATGAACCAATATCGACACATATTAACTGAATTCCACAGTTTACCTTAGGGTTCCCTCTCTATGTGGTTCGGTTCTATGGGCTTTGGCAAACGTATAATGTCACGTATCCAACATTATGGTATTAGAACAGAATAGTTTCACTGACCCCAAAATCCTTTTGCTTCACCTATTCATCCCTACCCCTAAACCCCTGGAAATCATTAAATTTTTGAGTCCGTAGTTTTGCCTTTTCTGGAAGAGTTCAATCACACAGTATGTAGCGTTTTCAGACTGGCTTCTTTCACTTAGTAATACATATGTGAATGGCTTCTCGGCCTTTGGCTAGGCTGGATTGCAATAACGTGCATTTGAGCTTCCTCCATGTCCGTTCATGGCTTAATCCTTCATTTCTGTTTACCGCTGAGTAATGTTCCATTGGAGAGGTGTACCACAGTTTACCCACTCACTTACTGAAGGACATCTTGATCGCTTCCACTTTTTGGTAATTATGGACAAAGCTGCTCTATAAACACTCATGTGTGAAGGTTTTTATGAGGACATACATTTTCAACTTAACAAGTACCTAAGAGTATAATTGCTGGATTGTGTAGTAAGAGCGTGTTTAGCTTTGTGAGACGTTGCCAAATTGTCTTCCAGAGTGGCTGTACCATTTTGCATTACCACCAGCGATGAAAAGAGCGTCCGTTGCTCCACATCTTGGCTAGCACATGGTATTGTCAGTTTGGATTTTGGCCGTTCTAATAGATCCGCAGTGGTATCTCACTGTTGTTTCAATTAGCATTTCCTTAGTGATCACTTATGTTGATCAACTTTTTTTTTTTTTTTTTTTTTTTTTTTTTTTTTTTTTTTTTTTTTTTGAGGCAGAGTCTTGAGCTCGTTGCCCAGGTTGGAGTGCAATGGCATGATTTTGGCTCACTGTCACTCCTGGGTTCAAGCAATTCTCCTACCTCACCAGGCGCGGTGGTTCATGCCTGTAATCCCAGCTACTCAGGAGGCTGAGGCAGGAGAATTGCCTGAACCCAGAAGGCGGAGGTTGCGGTGAGCCGAGATCGCGCCATTGCACTCCAGCCTGGGTAACAAGAGCGAAACTCCGTCTCAAAAAAAAAAAAAAAAAATTCTCCTGCCTCAGCCTCCTGAGTAGCTTGGATTACCACCCACGTGGTGGTATGTGCCACCAAGCCTGGCTAATTTTTGTATTTTTAGTAGAGATGGGGTTTCGTCATGTTAGCCAGGCTGGTCTCAAACTCCCAACCTCGTGATCTGCCTGCCTCAGCCTCCCAAAGTGTTGGGATTACAGGCGTGAGCCACTTCACCCAGCCTCTTCTGCCATTTTAAAATTTGACTATCTGCTTACTGTTACATTTTAAGAGCTCTTCATATACATATTTTGAGACAGGGTCTCACTCTGTCACCCAAGCTGGAGTGCAGTGGCAGTCATCACAGCTCATTGCAGCCTCTACTTCCTGAGCTCAAGCAATCCTCCTGCCTTAGCCTCCTAGAGTAGCTGAGACTACAGGCATGCAACACCACACCCAGCCCGTTTTGTCTTTTTTGTAGAGACAGGGTTCCACCATGCTGCCCAGGTTGTCTTCATATATTTGGAATACAAGACCTTTATCAGCTATGCGTATTGCAAATATTTTCTCCCAGTCTGTGGCTTGTCTTTTCATTCACTTAACAGTGTCTTTTGCATAACTGAAGCTTTTATTTTTAATGAAGTCCAACTTAAACATTTTTTTCTTTCATGGTTCACTGTTTGAGTGTTTTTGTTTTTTTTTTTTAACTCATTGCCAACCCAGAGCTACCTAGATTTTCTGTTATCTTATGGAAATTTTATAGTTTTATGTTTTACATTTAGGTCTATGATCTATTTTAAGTCAACTTTTATGAAAGGTATTAAGGTCTGTGTCTATATTCTTTTTTTTTGAGACGGAGTTTCGCTCTTGTTACCCAGGCTGGAGTGCAATGGCGCGATCTCGGCTCACCGCAACCTCCGTCTCCTGGGTTCAGGCAATTCTCCTGCCTCAGCCTCCCGAGTAGCTGGGATTACAGGCACGTGCCACCACGCCCAGCTAATTTTTTTTGTATTTTTAGTAGAGACGGGGTTTCACCATGTTGACCAGGATGGTCTCGATCTGTTGACCTTGTGATCCACCCGCCTCGGCCTCCCAAAGTGCTGGGATTACAGGCGTGAGCCACCGCGCCCAGCCCTGTGTCTGTATTCTTTTTATTTTCTTTTTTATTTTTTTGCATGTGGATGCCCAGTTGTTCCAGCACCATTTGTTGAAAAGACTATTTTTTCTCCATTAAATTACCTTTGGTCCCTCAAAGCTCAGTTGACTGCATTTACATGGGTCTATTTCTGGGCCCTCTGTTCTGTTCCATTGAGCTATTCGTCTATACTTTCATGAATGTATCACACTGTTTTCATTACCGCAGTAAGTTTTGAAGTGAAGTACTGTCACAAGTCCTCTGACTTCTTTTTCAGTAATTGTGTTGCCTATCCTGTTAATATAAAAAATAACTCGCTGAGATTTTAATTGGGGTTGCACTGAATCTGTAGAACAAATTGGGAAGAGTGATCTAGTGATATTAAATTTTCCTATCTGTGAACACGGAATACCTCTCCATTTTCTTTTGTCTTTTCTTTTTTCTTAATGGAAGCTTCTCACTTATTTCAGACAAAGTATTAGATTGCCATTAAGAATTACCTCAAAGTGACCACTATTACGGTTGTTACCACAAAAGCTAGTGAAGCGGGATGGAGGCAGATACCTGCAGAGCCACCAGCATGCCCCAGAGCCGAGACCAGCCCTAATTCTTCACTTCTGTAGCCTCCTTCTCAGCCCTTCCCTTAGCCTTCTTCTTCCCCTCCACCTTCTCCTCCTTCCCCAGCATTGCTACCATCTCAGCCACCTGACTGGTAGGGATATAAACATCTTTGCGCACCAGTTCAATCGCCTTAAAAAGATTGTCAATGTCGAGCTTGCCATCCTTATTTTTATGCAGTGTTGAGGCCAAGCTCATCAGCTTGTTTTCTGGAATGTTCTTAATTTGCTTCCTGTTGCTGATGAGCTCAGTGAGACTGATGACTTTCTCCCCTACTCCCCCTGAGCCCTCTGCCGGACCCAGCTTGCCAGGCCTCTGATGCATCTCCAGCTCTATCCACCAGATGATCTGCTGAACTCTCTTTGTCAGTCTCTTGGTGGCTTCAGATTTTTTTATGTATTTTTCTTTGCTGGTCTCAACTTCCTTCTTGATCTCTTGCAAGTCATCACTATAGTCCTGGACATCCCCCTTCAGCAGCTCCAGCTCCTCGTTCTCCTTGGTCAGGGGCCTCTTTTGCTCCTTCAGTTTAGAACAGGCGTCGTTAAGTACATCCATTTCTTCTTTAGTCATTTCCTCTTCCTTCCAGACCTCCAGCACAGGGGCAGTGTTCTTCAGGGCCTCTGAGGGCAGGATCACATCAGGCACTTCTGGCTGCTGGTCAGCCACTGGCCTCTCAGAGGTGGCTTCTTCCACTTCCTTTGTTTCCTGGGGTAGATTCTGCGGCTCCTTCTCCCCATGCTCCTGCCTCCTCCTGTAACGTGGCCTCCAATTTCACTGTGCTGTCCACCTGCTCACCCTCAACCTTGGCCGCTTTCACCTGAGCTCCCTTCACCACTATCTCCAGAAGAGTCTGCAAGGTGCATTTGAGCTGGTCAGCAGGAGAGAGGGTGTCTGGGAGGCACAGAGCTCGGGACAATAAGAGCAGTGATAGGGCACATGAGGGTGGCTGAGGTTAAGCCAGCCAGGCAGACCCCACCAAGCATGAGCTCCACCCCTCACTAACTGCAATATCTTGGCTTGGTCACTGCCTTTCTGGGGCCTCAGTCCTCATCTGTAGGATTATAAAATAACAGCACTATCCTGGTATAACTGTGGCAGGGAGGAAAATGCCTGGCACTGAGCCTGGCACACCTCAGTGTCTTACAAACACATTTCCTTCTTTACCCTTTAGGAATCACCTCCAATCCAGTATCCCTGCCTTCGCGCTGCTTTTCCTGACTCCTCCCAGGTCAGCACCACCTTCCCTTCATCCCACCCATCCCACCCTGGCCACCCAGAGGAGGGAAAGATGGAAGGCTGACAGCAAGTGGCAGATGTTAATGGCGTTATGTGCCAACCATTCTTCTAAGCATGCTGTATGTATTAGCTTAGATATATGCACCAAAAGAAGGTATGGTCTAGAAAAACTGCTACCACCATACTACAGAAAAGGAAAGTCAAGGTGCAGAGAACTTTAGCAACTTCCAAGATCACAGTCAGTAAGTGGCGGAGCCTGGGTTAGAACCCAGAACCCACATTTTAGGAAGAGACATAAAGGAAGTGAAGATCCTCCACCCTGGGAAGTGGTAACTCAGCAGGGTGAGAGCATCCCACTCGCTGTACTAGTTTGGCTGTGGGGTTTTAAGGGCTGGAGGCTTCCTCCAGTGACCTCAACTTCCTGGGTTAACTGAGGGGATGCTTGTGCCAATGAGGGAGGCGGCGCCCCTGTGGAGCTGGACTGAGCATGGTGCAGATGCCAGATTCCCGTTATCCTGTAGTGGGACGGGGTCAGGGATCTGCCAGTCTGCCTAACCCAGGACTTCTTGAACTTCAATGTGCCCACAAATCCCTGGGGATCTTATTAACATGCAGATTAAGATTCAAAGTCCCAAGTTGGGCCCACGATTCTGCCTTTTTTTTTTTTTTTTTTCTGAGATGGAGTCTTACTTTGTCACCAGGCTGGAGGGCAGTGGCATGATCTCAGCTCACTGCAACCTCTGCCTCCCAGGTTCAAGCAATTCTCCTGCCTCAGCTTCCCAAGTAGCTGGGACTACAGGTGCGTGCCACCATGCCCAGCTAATATCTGTTTTTGTTTTTGTTTTTAGTAGAGATGGGGTTTCACCATCTTGGCCAGGATGGTCTCGATCTCTTGACCTCGTGATCCACCCGCCTCGGCCTCCCAAAGTGCTGGGGTTACAGGCATCAGCCACTGCGCCCAGCTGATTCTGCATTTCTAATAGGCTCTAAGACATTGTTGATGCTGCTGCTACAGGGACCTCATCTGAAGAAACAGTTCTCTGTGGGACCCTATATCTCCCACAGGCCTCACTTCCTTCACTTGTCTTCCGGCTTCTCTCACTCCGCTTGCCTGATTCTCCAGCTCTGAAGTGATCATTCTCCCCACTGCTCCACCTCTCAGGTGGCAGGACAGCTTCTGAAGGGCATTTTAAGAAAAGTCACCCAGGGAACGGCCAGCCAGATGCCATACTACTTAGCCAACATGGACCAATCTATGAGCTGGGCCTAGTACCATCCATCACTTCTGAGATCCCAGAACTGTGGCTTCTGGTGAAAAGCAGCATTTATATCACCTGTAAAATGTAGAAATGATCATAGAACCTGACCTCAGGGTTGGCTTGAGGATTGAATGAGTCAGCACATGCAAAGCCACCCGCTCAGCCCCTGACACAGAGTGAGCACTGCTTACGTCTTAGATCTCACTTTGCTGAATGACTCTTTAACAGATGTGGGTTTGATGCTGGCCCACAGATGACTGCATGCAGTAGTCCTCAGAGTTAAGCATGCATCAGAATTGCCTGCAGGGCTTATTAGATACGAACCGCTGAACTGTGCTCCAAGGTTTCTGATTTAGTAGGTCTGTAGTAGGGAGCTGAGGATTTGCACTTATATCAAGTTCCCAGCTGCTGCTGATGCTGCTGGCCCAGGGACCAACTTTGAGAACCTCTGATCTAGGAGCAACTCCTGCCCCTGCCCTACAAAGAGCCTGAAAGCCAGTGCTGGCAGTGCTGGGCCAGGTCACACCTATAGTTAGAAGCCCTACTAGCCAGGTGCCCTGGGCTTCAAGGACACCAGAGAGGGGCTTGTCTGAGGCCCGAGGTCCCTCCACAGGCCTCTCCTGCAGGCCCCCTGCCTCCTTCCTGGCCCAGTGCCCCGGCCCTCAGAAGGCCCCTCCGCCCAGCTTTGTTTGCATTCCTGGAGCCTGCGTCAGCCTGGGCAGCAGGCATGTCTATACAGGCTGGCCTGGAGCAGCTCTGATGGCTGGTCCTGCACTCCAGGCCTTCTGGGCTAGGGCCACAGTGGCCACGCAGGGCTCACTTTGCAGGCTTGTGACTCATGTTTCCTCCCGGATTCCGGGAAATGACTTCCTGCTGCTGCTGCCGCTGCTTTTTTCTTGTTTAATGAGAAGTTCTCTGCAGACTTCCATGACAACCTCAGGATGGGGAGGCAGGGGGAGGAGGAGACCAAATCTATTCCCAAGAGGGGCCCCAAGAATTCCCATCTCTCTCACACATGCGCACATGCTCCTACCGTGTTGCCAGCCCCGGCCTGAGCCCCCAACCCACCATGGTGCTTTGGTCCAGGAGGGCCAGCCCCAGAAACGCTTGCTTTTATTAAAAAGGAATGGCCTCACAAAGGCACAACTGTAGGAAAGGTTGTAATTTGCCCAAATAAAACTTAATTTGATCCATGAAATAGCTGTGGTTTATTGTGTAATAGATGTGCTCTGTGTTTCAATTTAATAGAAGCCAATATAATAGGGGGCCAGTGGGGGCCTCCAGAGGCCCACCTCTTCCCCTACTCACAGTAGGGCCACACTGTGGGCCCACCCCAATGTTGAGACCGTCCACCAGGAGAGGATGGAGAAGGGCTGGCCATAGACCTCTGGCCCAGACCACGGAGGCTGGTGGGAGAGAGAGCCTGGGGACAGAATGAGTACGAGTGCTTGAAGGGGAAAAAAAGAGGAAAGAAATGAGAACCACCCTTTTTCCAAAGCAAGGCTTCGGGTGTGTGAGTCTGAGGAGGGGGCTGTGGGGGCTGAGTCACTTTCCTGTCCACTGCTGGAATTTGGAGGGAGGGGTGTCTCTGCTAGGGGCTGTGGGAGAAATAAGCCTGGGTCTGTCCACATACAGGAAGTGTACGAGGAAGGGATGTGGAAGAGTATGGAGAGTATGTTGAGGGGATCCCTTTGAACAAGTCTTCAGGGACAGTTCCTGGGGTGGTGGGCAGCTGCTCTGGTCCCCAGACCCTGTGTGTGCAACCTGTGCTCGGGCTCAGGGCAAAGGTAGTACAAGCCAGGGGGAGGAGAAAGACAGGAGTGGGGCTTAGTCAGGTCTGGTGAGGCTCCCAGAGATGGTCCCATCCAGCATCCCTTGTCCCCAGCCCACCCTGGTGGTGCAGACTGAGGCCTGGAGAGAAGGAGTGAACGAGCTCAGCTGGCCCTGGCCCTCCTCCCATAAATTCTTAGTACGCACTTAGATCAGGGAGGGGGGTAGGGTGGGATGCCAGGCTGGCTTTGCAGGACCCACCTCCAGGAGTGCGGAGCCACTGACAGCAGCAGGGGAAGGGGCAGCAGGTAATGCTCTAAGCATGTCACATGCATCATCTCACTTAGTCCTCATGACAACACACTATGGTAGGTATTGGTGGCCCCATTTTTTACCTGAGGAAATTGAGGCTGGGGCAGTGGCTTGTCCAAAAATCACAGTGACCCCTCAACCCTCTGCTGCCTCTCGTGAGCAGAGACAGTATCCACTCCATCCCCCCGGCCTTCTGGATTCTGGGACTCTGACCCCTACATTTAAGTTATTCCTCATTCATTCTTCCCATTGGGTGCTTTTGTTAAAAAGGCCTTTATTTGGCTCACCGTAACCTTGGGCAAACTTCTGAGCCTCAGTTTTCCGATTCGTAAAATGAGAATTGCATGCATCTCCCAAGGGCTGTTCTAAAGGTTAAATGAGATGCCACATGAAAAGCACCTGAGCCAGGGCTTGGCACTCAGTAGGCACTCACAGGTACTCATTAAATTCATCTGTTTCTAACAACCCCCATTGAGAATATCATAAGCCAGGTAAGTTCTGGATATTAATTTGAGAGGGAGAATAGCTGGGATTTGAATTCCAACGCTGCCATTTACTCACCAAGTACTGGAACAGGATCTCATCTTGCCTCTCTGAATCTCAGTTTCATCATCTGTAAAATGGGCATAACATTACCCATCACAGGGATGATGGGACAATTAAATGAGATAATGGATGCCACATAAAAGGTGTTCAATCGGCCAGGTGCGGTGGCTCACGCCTGTAATTCCAGAACTTTGGGAGGCCGAGGTGGGCAGATCACCTGAGGTTGGGAGCTTGAGACCAGCCTGACCAATGTGGAGAAACCCCGACTCTACTAAAAATACAAAAATTAGCCAGGCGTGGTGGCACATGCCTGTAATCCCAGCTACTGGGGAGGCTGAGGCAGGAGAATTCACTCGAACCCAGGAGGCGGAAGTGAGTCAAGATCATGTAACTGCTCTCCAGCCCGGGCAACAGAGTGAGACCCCATCTCAAAAAAAAAAAAAAGGTGTTCAATAAACAGTTGTTATTCATCATCATTATTACTGCTTTCTAAATGCTATTCTGAGGGCTGGCCTCCAGGGTAGATGACCAACCTGTCTAGTGTGATGTTCCCCCGCTTAATCTTGCGCCTGTTGGCTCCTCTCATGAGAATTTTTCAGTCTGTCTGTGAGTTGGGGTTTCTGCCCCGGGGCTGAGAGAACCCTCTGTGTCCTGTCTGCCCCAGAAACAAATCACACATGAATTCAATGACTGAAGGAACTGAAAGCAGTTACCCTGGACGCATTTGCAGGGCAGTCTCCTCTTTTGTTCTTCCAAGGAAATGCCACAGCACGGCCAAACCCACTGTTGGGCGGGTTGGGGGGCAACATGAGGGGGAGAACTTAGTCAGGGACGGTGGCAGGAAGCCCTCTCTGAAAGCCACGAGAGATGAGATGCCCCCCGCTCCTCATGAGGACCCTGGGCTGCTCCTTTCCTCATCTGCTGCCCTGACAAATCCCACCAGTGCCCACTGGACCACAGGGAGGCCAGGAGGCCCAGTTAGAAAGCTGGGCTATGACCAGATGCGGTGGCTCATGCCTATAATCCCAGCACTTTGGGAGGCCAAAGAGGGAGGATCACAAGGTCAGGTGTTCAAGACCAGCCTGGCCAATATGATGAAACCCTGTCTCTACTAAAAATGCAAAATTCACCTGGCGTGGTAGTGGGTGCCTGTAGTCCCAGCTACTTAGTAGGCTGAGGCAGTAGAATCACTTGAACCTGGGAGGTGGCAGTTGCAGTGAGTCGAGATCATGCCATTGCACTTCAGCCTGTGCGACAGAGTGAGACTCTGTCTCAAAAAAAAAAAAGAAAAGAAAAGAAAGCTGGGCTTGTTCATCGAAAGCTGCACCATGGGACTTGTATGGGACTGGAGCCCTTGAAGACTGTGATTCACCCAAGGCCACAGCAGATCTGTGTGCATGTGTGTGTGTGCGTGTGTGTGTGCCTGCGTGTGTGTGCATGTGTGTGCGCGTGTGTGCATGTGTGTGCATGTGTCCGTGTGTGCATGTGTGTGCGTGTGTGTGCGTGCATGCGTGTGCATGTGTCCGTGTGTGCATGTGTGTGCACGTGTGTGCGTGCATGTGTGTGCATGTGTCCGTGTGTGCATGTGTGTGTGCGTGTGTGTGTGTCTGCACCTGCTATATCCGTATGTCGAGTGATTTCCCTTCATCTCAGTACTTCACAGGGTGCTACAGGGATCAAGGGAGGTGGTCATGTGCAGAAGTCCACTATTAAATGAAACAAATGTGAGGATTTATTTGTTGTCTTTTAATAGAGTCAAACTTCAATAAAGCACTGGCAGCCAGAAATGTTTCATTGAGATTTAATGGCAAATCCTTTCTGTGCAACATTTTTTGTGGAGAAACTTTTTATAATTATAATTCATAATGAAGTTTAATAGAATAAAAATGATATATGATCTGTGTAGGAAATTTCAAAAATGTGGGAAATGATAAAAGAAAAAGGATACAAAAATCATTCCAGAACCCAGACGTATTCACTGGCTATTACTTTATGCTCATATACGAAAGCATTTATATCATTAGAATCATTACTGTAAATCTGTGTGCATATATATATACCATTTTATTATGCCAGGGACTGAATTCAGTGCTTACTACATTTTCTATGTATATATGTATAAATGAAGTATCACATTATATACATGTACGTTTATCACCTGCTTTTTTTTCCATTTAACATTATGTAATGATAATTTTTCTTTTTTCGGTTTTTTTTTTTTTTTGAGATGCAGTCTCTTTCTATCGCCCAGGCTGGAGTACAGTGGCGCAATCTTGGCTCACTGCAATCCCTGCCCCTCGGGTTAAAGCAATTCTCCTGCCTTAGCCTCCCGAGTAGCTGAGATTACAGGTGCTCACCATTATACCTGGCTAATTTTTGTATTATTAGTAGAGACGGGGTTTCACCATCTTGGCCAGATTGGTCTTGAACTCCTGACCTCATGATCCACCCACCTTGGCCTCCCAGAGTGCTGGGATTACAGGCGTGAGCCACCGTGCCCGGTCTCTAATGATAATTTTTCTACATAATGAAAAATATTATAAAACATGATATTTTTCTTTGTAACAAGAATACATGTGTATGGTAAGGTACCTAGTCCAGAAAAATAGAAAGTAGAAAGAAAAAAACCTACTTGTACTTCCATCTCCCCTCCCATTCCCCAGATGCAAGTGCTAGTAACAATTGGGCATAGTGTTTAAAAGTTGCGTAGTATTTTGACACATAGATGTGCCATAGTTTCTGTAATTTCCTATTACGGGACATTTAGACTGCTTCAGAATTTTTTCTGTTATAGACAAATGAATATTTCTCAGGAAAGATCCCCAGAGGCAGCCTTGCTGGAACAAAGGGCACAAACATTTTTAAGGCTTTTGATCCAGATTGAGAAACTGATTTCCTGAAAGCGGCTGCCGTTAGAGCCCCATCCGCATGGAGAGAACATGCTTTTTGCCCATCTCATTTTATCCCGGCCCCACTGAGCATGACTTAAAAAAAAAAACGCTTTGGCCCAAGTCATCAGTGAAAAACAACATCTCCCTGTTTTAATGGAATCTTTTGTTTTCTACTGAGATGAAGCATTTTTCCCATATACTTAGCCACTGAAATTTTCCCTTTTGATTTTGTTTTTATATCCATTGCCCCATTTTTTCTCATTCTGGGCAGTAGGCTTTTTTCTTTTTGATTTGTAAGTGCTCTTTACATATTTCTTTTTATTTTCATTCTATTTATCGTGTGTTTTGATGTCCAGAAGTTTCTAATTTTAAGTATTCAAATATACGCATCTTTTCCTTTATAATTCCTTCCATTACTGCT